GCCGTGGTTAGCCACGGTCAACCATAACCGCAGTCCGCTTTCAGGCATGGCCTTGCCTCAGAGAGACTCTGCCGAGCACAGCTGCCGTACTGGGCTCTCCAGGCCCAAACAGCTCAGGGATGGGGCTCGGGCTGCTCCCTCCCCTCCCTGCCCTTCCTCCCCTGGCAGTGGCCCTTCCAGCTTGTGCTGGGTACAGCCGGTGGCCCTGTATGTCACTAATTGCAGGGCTGAGGAGGTCTCCTTGGGGAGCGCAGGGTCATGCGTGCTAGGGCGGTAAGGTTACAGTACAGTGGAAGCTGAGCTTTATTAAAAATAAAATGAGACCCGTGTTTGGGTAGGCAGGTTCAAAGCAAAACCTGGTCAGCGACTGATAGGTCTGAAGGCAGCTGAGCTCTCCATGCAGTAAGGGGAGCCTCCTTCCACTGACAACCAGAAATAGCACCAGGGATACATGAGTTTTTTCAGCTAAAAGTTTACATTGTCGGGCAAAAGTGGACTGGGGTTTTCAACTGAAAAATCTGAAAACCTAAGGAAAGCAGATGTTTGGTGATAGAGCTCTCAGCGAAGACACTTATTGGCTCTGCGATTTAGCTTTCTGAATTGTACTTTTCCTTGTGCTTTCACATCTGTCTGGGTGGACACAATGTGACACCAAAAAAGCCTCAAAACAGACCCTGATTAATATGGAAACAGAGGCCCGAGCATGTAACAAGCTGAGCCCTGGCTGATGCTGGTGACTTCAAGAGGGAACTGAGCCTCTCTTTGGTCTTTAGACCAATACATGCACAGAGCTGGTGCAAGCCTAGAACACAGGAATGACCACACTGAGACCAAGAACATTTATTTCTATATTTAGGCTGATTACTTACCCCCTGTGAGTCATAGAACTTTGGCCGCGAAAACAGACTGAGCTGTTTCACAGCGAATTTTAGCTTTTCTTCTTGGCACAACCGCAGCCTCGTGCTGCTCTTGTTCTGCTTCCTGCTGGGGATGAGTTTTCCATCCAAATCCATTAATCTGCATTTTAATTTATAAAATCATTTTATGAAACAGGTTTGGTCAAAGAGTTAATTTAAGCCCCCATTCTGTGCTGAAGATACCTAGTTGTCTATGCTTTATAAATGCATAGAAAGCTTCTTCCATAACCCAGTCTTCCTCTAGAAAATCCAACACCACAATAGTAAGAATTGTCCTACATGATAATGGCAGACTCCCCCATTTGTGCAAGTCTTAGTACTTTGAACTAACTTGGAAGAATGTATACAAATAATTAGTATCAAAGTTATTAAATGTGTATTTGTCAGATGCATCTGGCTTCCTGCCCTGCCTGTCTGCCTGTTTGTTCACCAGCAGGCTACCCTCACCCTGGTTCTTGCACGTGCTGGAATTGGTTGGTAAGGTTGGTAACAACTCTGCCTGTTGTCCAGGCCACCCGTACAAACTATCTGTCTCCCCAAGGCCTTGGAAAAGTCATTTACCTAAACCGTGAATGGCAGACCTTCTTTCTGGGGTACTGGGAGAATAACTATGCCCAAGAGCATGAGAGGCCACAGGACAGGTATTAGCAAGAGCGCACCAAGCCAGACCTGCAGAAAAAAAGCCCTGTTCTGTCAGACCCTCTGCAAGATGTCACAGGGGAAGGGAGATGGGGGCCTCTACCACATTATTTACAAATCAGGAGCCACGATCTGATAGGCTAGCAACGGGAGTTGGGGGAGACCAAACTCATCCAGGATTTTTCTCTTGCTGAACACCCTTTTCACACTTCTTCTTTCTTCAGGCAGACTTCCTAGAAAACCAAAACTCGCTTAATCATGTCTGCCCGTCTTCACTTCCCTGCATCCCCTTTTCTTCTTGGAACTGACCAATTAATTAAAATCAAACCAGACACCTGATGTCAAAGACTAAGATCCCCAGAAGCTGGGAGAAAAATCACCAGCTAAGGAGACAAGTTCAAGCAACATCCACACTGACAAAGTGAAGGCAACTCGCACGCAGCAACATCTGTCCTGCTGCACAGCTGGCTGGGCGCCGGGCATGCAAGGCCCTTGGTCCTGGCATAGCACATCCAGCCTCCTGCCTGGCTGGGAGCAGGAGGACGTGGGCAGAAGAAGGGGGAGGATGAGAGGCAATAATGACGTGATGAAGCCAAACTATAGGAAACCTTGTGTCCCCAGCTCTGCTGCACACTGAGAAAGTTATCTGTTTTTTATTCCAGGTCAACCAGACACAACGTGCCATGCATTCGTTGGAGAAACCGTCGTTTTGCCTTGCACCACCACATCTCCTGGACAGCTGATCCTTTCCGATTCAATGCTCTACTGGCAGATAGAGTCTGTCGTAGTGCACTTTTTTCACAATGGGCAGGATTCGCTGGAGTCCCAGGACAAACATTACCAGGGCAGAACTAGTCTTTTTTCGGACCAGATGAAGCATGGCAACTTTTCCTTAAAGCTCTCCAATGTCCAATTAGAGGACACAGCTGTATATACCTGCATCTACAAACAGACTGGGGATCATCCCCACGAAACACAGAAATCTAAAATTACACTCTCTGTATCAGGTGAGATTTTCTTTTTTAGTTCAGAGGGAGGGAGTTGAGGGCAGCATTTCTTGTTGACAAGCCATACATGGCCATCGACTGGGATGACTCCAATTTTTAAAGCAAATCTTCACTCAGTTTCACACTGTTCCTTGATTTTGCTGGAAGAGTAAGTGAGAAGGAAAAAAAACCTGTGTCCTTGTTAAGCTTCAGCACAGTATATCCACAGAAGCAGCAGGGCTCCTGAAGACAAGCCGCCTGCCTCTCCCCCTCCCTTTGCAGGAGACATTAATGAATAATGAGGTCTCCCCAACTTCTAAGCATTTGATTATTTGTGGGTTTGTACTGTCCCGGATCCACCCTGTCCCAGAGGAACAGGAGAGTTTATTTCATTGTTTGCACTTGGGTCTGTGAAGCAGAATTAGTTTCATCTCAGGCAAGTGGATCCGAAGTCCAGGCCATATACCCTTTCAGATGAAAGACGGGCAGTTGTTAGTTACCTTTTCCCCCACAGCTGGAAGATGTGGACCTGGTAGCAAGGCCGGACACATGCAACAAGAATTATTATTTTTCTTCCTTAGGAAAATGAGTGAAACCATAACACATGCTTAAATAATGCCAAACAACTGAGCTAACATGTTTGAACTACCTACAAGCATGGCCAGAAGAATGATGGGGCATTGGGTTTGACCAGCTGACCAAGTGAAAAAGCAAATCAAAAAAAAGGGGATACATATCAAAACAAATCATAGCTTTTTAAGGTGTCTTGCTTGGATAAATCAGCTGGAAACTTTCATTATGGTCAACCACATGCATTTGATTCTGCTTAAAATCGCAAAAATCTGTTTTCAAGTAATATAAACCCTTTAGCATCTTTGTTTTAATGCACATCATTCGCAAGAGAAAAATGTTTTTAAAAAGTGAAATACTTCAGAAAATTTCAAAGGAGTGAAATGTTTTGCAGTTTTCAAAATGTAAAAAAAGTGTTTTAAAAATGCAGAATCAAAATGTTTTCATCATTTTGGGGAGCAGTAAGGTGTCTTTTACTCTGATTTCATTCCATGACATATTTAAACTTTCAATTTGTCTGACAAATGTATTCTTTCTCAGAAAAAACCCACTAACCCTTAGACCAGTTATCAGTACCCTTTTTGTGTTCTAGGCTCACCCAGATAACTTTGATTATTGTGGTTTTTTCCAGCTCCATCTAGCACCGAGGAGCCTCCTTCCCCCTCTGGTAAGGCAATACTCCTTAACCTGCTACGTGTCTAAGTGATTATCCAGTACTTTAATTTGAATTTGCAAGATTGGTAAAATGTGCTGAATAGAGAAAGTCCAAAAGACTTACAGTGCCTGCTCTCTCTTATTAAGTCTAGCAAAATACAGCTGTCCCAGACAGGGAAAAATATCTCCACCACTAAGACAGACCTAGACTGCAGAAAGAAGAACACTGAAGTGCCAGTGGTCACTAGTCCATAAATCTACTCACCATTATGGGCATCATAAAAATCAATAAAAAACAAGTAACATGGAAGCCATTGGGTTCTGGGACTTAAGGCCTTTGTATTACCTTGGTATGAATGATCAAGAGATTTGAGGGGTCCTGCTGGGTAAATAAGGTAATAAATATTCTAAAAATACATGATTAATGACTCCACATAAGCTCTTCTGGGAAAATTAAAGTAGATCTCATCCAAAGTCAGTTCTGAAGTACAGTGCAGATGCTAATGTCTAGGTTTAATCATTACAGAGAAGTAACTACATTAGGTCCATTTGTAAGCACTTCTGGAGTGAATGCAATACAGAAGGGCTGTCCAGCTCCGACATGCCATTGTTAGTAAATTCTCCCATAAAAATCCTGCTTGTAAGCCAAAATAGTCTTATTAGCTCAACAAAAGCTTAAATTGATATCAAACCTGTAACATTTTGTCATATAAAAATCAATAGCTGCAATTTGTATTTAACGCACTGTAGCTGGAAGAGATAATCCATTACATAACAATAATTATATTACAGTTAACGTAATAAGTTTAGCCACAATACCTTTCAGCCAGATTAAGCAGCAATAAACTCGAATAGAAACTAAGGAGGAGAAATGTTCCAGCATTTTATCTCATGACCACACAGAAAAAAATGAGCTCTGTACTTCATGAGCAATAACCAACTTGAAAAATTACAGGAAATACCCTTTTTTGACCTAAGACAGCTTGTCTAGCTCACCTAAAGGTCTTTAAAAAAAATGGAGTTGTATTCCATAAGGTACCATGTGCCTTCAGTGACACATTTCCACATTATAACATCATAAAAGCAAACAGAACAGGAGCTAGAGTATCTCTAGCTGTTACCTTCCACAAGAAATAAGAAATTATCAAGGGTCAAGCTTTTTAACGCAGTAGCAACAGAAGTCTCTCAAAACCAAAAGGTAAGTAGGCTGTAATTAAAGGAGATAGTTGGACATATGTTTGACTCGGCCAAAGACTTTCTGACAACTTTTCATCAATATAAACTATTTCTAACCACGAAAAAGTATTTTCATTGAAAAAAAAAAAGTGATTGGGACAAGGGGGAGTGCTTCAACTTTGCTACAGGAGAACAAACTGAATCACACACTTCGGACCCCTGAAGGTTCTTGTAATGCTGGATTTTAGGGAGCCTGGGGACGGAGGAAATAACAGAAGCCTAACATGTGAAATATAATTTTTTGCAAAAAGGAAAAAAATTTCCTGTTGTCAACTTCTTTTAAAGAAAATCATCAGCCGCAGCTTCCATTATTTTTATTTTCAGCAATTTCTTAAGAAAGGGAGGAAAAGAATCTGCTTTGTATTAGTTGTTATTTTGGAAGGGACTGACTTAGACGACCTGCTGAGAACAAAGGCACTGTGTGCAGAAACAGTTCTCACACTCTGCAGTCATCATAACCAGATTAGTAGATATTTAATATATTTATATAAAACAGACAGTTTTGATCTGTTTCACTGCTGCTTCTTTTCTGTTCGCTTATTTGCTGGATTGATTATTTTTCATAATTATTTTAAAGACTCTAATTTCACTGTTGCTCTGGTTTCTTGCAAGACTCCTTTTGGGTCAATCAAAACTTGTTTTAAAGGGGTTTTTTTTCTGCAAAAAATGAATGTGCATAGGCCTGGAAGAGGTCACAAGAGGCCAGGAGACTTGCTATAATCCTACATTTACTTCAGAGAGTTACTGAGGGCTATGAGATGTTTACTTGCTCTTTACACGTTAATACTGCATCCTCCTTCTAGGAAGAGGGGGAGGAAGTGCCTCTACTAGTGATAAGTTAACTGCAGCAACATCCTGAAAGCCGATACCACAGCAATAGCAACAGCCTGAGAATTAGAAAACAGGTATGGAAACTAGGCATAGAAAACAATATACAGCCTGATCTTCCCAGAGAAGGACTTGGACTGGGCCTGCTGGCAACGTATGGAACTCAGCTTTCTCAAAGTGGGAAAAGGGTTCTCGCTCATGAGTTGTTGGGGCTCATCAAGAGGGCTTTAAACTAGGTTCAAAGGAGGCAGGGGATATAACCAGGCTCACTAGAGAGGAGCCTAGGGGTGGCATGCCAATGTTGGGGGTGAAATTGATAGCCCAGCTCAAGTGCACCTACACCAATGCATGCAGCATGGGCAACAAACAGGAGGAGATGGAAGCCATTGTGCAGCAGGCAACTTCGTTGCCATCATGGAAACGTGGTGGGATGCCTCTCATGACTGGAGTGCTGCAATGGATGGCTATAAGCTCTTCAGAAGGGATAGGCAAGGAAGGAGAAGTGGTGGGTAGCCCTGTATGTTAGGGAGTGTTTTGATTAGAGTTCAACGATTGTGATGATAAGGTTGAGTGCTTATGGGTAAGGATGAAGGAGGAAGGCCAACAAGGCAGATATCCTGCTGGGAGTCTGTTATAGACCATCCGACCAGGATGAAGAGGTAGATGAAGCATTCTGCAAGCGGCTGGCAGAAGTCTCACAATTGCTAGCCCTTGTTCTCATGGGGGACTTCAACTTACCAGACATCTGCTGGAAATAAAACACAGCAGAGAACAAACAGTCTAGGAGGTTCCTGGAGTGTGTGCAGAGACCAAACAGTCTAGGAGGTTCCTGGAGTGTGTGGAAGATAACCTCCTGACACAGCTGGTGAGTGAGCCTACCAGGGGAGGTCCCTCGCTTGACCTGCTGTTTACAGACCGAGAAGGACTGGTGGAAAAGGTGGTGGTCGGAGGCCATCTTGGGCTTAGCTACCATGAGCTTCCACCATGGACTTCCAGAGGGCAGACTTTGGTCTGTTTGGGACGCTGTCTCCCTTGGGAGATACTCCTGAAGGGCAAATGGGTCCAGGAAGGCTGGGCATTCTTCAAGAAGGAAGTCTTAAAGAAGCAGGAGCAGGCTTATCCCTGTGTGCTGTAAGACGAACCAGTGGGGAAGATGACTAGCCTGGATGAACAGGGAGCTTTTGCTGAGACTCAGGAAAAAAAGGAGAATTTACCACTTTTGGAAGAAGGGGCAGGCAACTCCAGAAGAGTACAGGAATCTCGTTAGGTCATGCAGAGAGAAAATTACAAGGCAAAAGCCCAGCTAGAACTCAATCTGGCCACTGTTGTAAGAGATAACAAAAAATGTTTTTACAAATACATTAACAACAAAAAGAGAGCCAAGGAGAATCTCCACACAGTATTGGATGTGGGGAAGAACATTGCCACCAAGGATGAGGAACAGGCTGATGTACTTAATGCCTTCTTTGCCTCAGTCTTTAATAGTCCAACCAGTTATCCCCAGGGTATGCAGCCCCTTGAGCTGGAACGCAGGGACACAGAGCAGAATAAACCCCCCCATAATCCTGGAGGAAGCAGTTAGCGACCTGCTGTGCCACCTGGACATCCACAAGTCTATGGGGCTGGATGGGATCCACCCAAGAGTACTGAGGGAGCTGGAGTAGAAGCTTGCCAAGCCACTCTCCATCATTTATCAGCAGCCCTGGGTAACAGAGGAGGTCCCAGATGACTGGAGGCTTGTATACTACATCCTCCAGCGTCGGTTGCAGATAGCACCTGTGGCAAGCATAATCTATGCCCTGTGTCCACGTCGTGGCTTATGTACCAACAGCAGTACACAGAGCTGCTACCACCTAAGTGTCTGTGGCCTAGGCTTGTTAATACTTATTACCATTATTTATGGACTCTTAATCACAATACCTACCTCAGGCCCCGAGTAGGTAGAATGATAATTTATTTTATACTCTCTTAGTTCTTGTTCTATCAGGATTTTAAACAAGTCTTCTCAGTCATCGAGAAAAGGAAGTTGTATTCGTTGTTGCTGAGTGTCTGTGCCTTTTCTATGGAGGAGAAAAAATTATTTGCCACAATACCTCGAGACTGTTTTTTTCTGGATGGTACACATACACAAAAAGGAGAATTTTGAAAATGAGCCAAAATCCACATGATTCTAGAAACAATCTTCCATCAATGTATTAATGTAAAAGATACCACGCAAACTTCAAATACACTTCCTGTCAAACCACCAGTTACATGCCAACTTTTGCTTTTTTTACTTTTTCAGGACACAGTCAGATTTCCTCCAGAAGCCTTGCTGATGCACCGTGTCTGGCTATGCTTCCCCTCTATTTCCACCTCCTGGTCACACTGGGGGTTTGGCACTTATGACTGGGGAAGCCAACCTTCTCTTTTGAATTTTCCCTCACCAGAGGACCTCGCTGGGCAGAACAGCTCTGTAGGGTTAGCATGACAACTGTTCCAGAGCCACGTGAAAGAAACGCTAACAGCTGACAACAGACCTAGCACTAGGTGTTTGTGTCCTGCATTTTGGTGTTCCACAAAGCCAAAGGCAGCAAAACTCAGAGGTCGCAAGTCTGCTTTTTTATTTGTTTCTTGGAGCCCAGTTTTAGTGTTGCCGGTATCAACATTTTATTTTGGATTTTGAGGTGTTGCTTTTAAACAACAGAATAAAAGACTCACAAAATTACAAGGCCACATTATAATTGACCCTAGAGGGATCTTTTGCCTAAGATCTCATCTGCTGTCCTTCAAGAGAATTGAAAGGAGGAGAAGAGGTAATTACTCTTTGTGTCAGACAAAAACTGGAAGCACGAAGGCGCTCATATTTTGTGAAACGTAAGGACGGAAACCTTGTGAAACTTGAGCCTGTGGAACTTTAGCTTCTGTTTTTACTCTTAAGCGTCATGGGCTATCAGTAACAACTTTTTTTTCCACAAGAAATGTAGTATTTCTTCAGCGGAAGGGTGAAGCTGACAGAGAAAGATGTTGGAAGTTCATAAAACATCAACATAGGGGAAGGAAGTGATGTATTATTACAAAATCCACTTCTAAATAAGCCAAAAGCTTTAGAAAGCTGAATTCAGTGTTTTCGCTTTTTGTCAAGAAACACAGCAAAGTAAATGTGGTCACTGTGCCAAAGCTGGATTCTTAAGCTGGAACTGTGCGACAAGAAGTTGTTACTGTGACAACATTACTTCCTTTAAAAATGGTGCCTTTGGAGGAAAAAAAGAATTAAATAACTGATACCTATGCAAATTAAACGGGTTTAGTTTTGGAAATGCTCCGTTCAGGTAGCATAGATGTCCTAAGATTGAAAGGATCCCGTACGCTAACCATATCCAGAAAGTACAGAAGTTTTTTTTCGGGCCAGAGCTGCTGTAATCGCCCTATTACGGAACTGAGAAGTGTCTGGAGGACTACTCACGTGGGCTGGTGAAAAGCAGTGACTGAACCGCACTCCTGGGTGAGCCCTGGAGCAGAGGGAAGTGACTCATAAGGACGCCCATAAAGTTGTTTTGATTTGGAACAATTCCACTCTCTTTCCAAAGGAAAGACAGGATTGTTTTTGCAAGGAAGGGAACAGAATAAAATAGAGATGAAAATGGTATCCATTGAAGTAAAGGAGATAGTTACCTTTGACTTTCTTAACAAAGGGCCCTTTCCCCATGGTGGGGAAGAGAGACAAAATCCCATGCACAGCCCCTGCTGCTGCTGCAGTGAAGCTCAGTTGGTATGTAGGCTACCCTGGGTAGAGCAGCTTAGCGCAACGGCTAGGGTCCCACTTCACAGAAAAATTTGAATGTAAGAATTGTACATACTGTGATTGTCTTTTTGTGTCCTACCCTCCAAATGTTTGTCTCAGATCCCATGTATTTTGTAAAATTGATTAAAATAAAACCAAAAAATAATTTAAAAAAAACCCTGAAGACAGCAATCACTTGGTCTCTAACAGTTCTTTATTTGTATTCCAGTGGTTCCCACAGTTAGTTAGGCTCCCTGTGCAATCAGAAAGTCCAAAAGGTGGCACCTGTACAGGTCTGTTGGTCCTAAAAGTCCAAGCTGCTTGCCTTCACCTTAGGGACTGTATGATTTCTAAAACCTAATAACCTTAAGCAGCCCTCCACTTTTCAAAAGGTGGTGAGGCACACGAATGACATGAGCACCTCCACTCACAAGTGCAAGCTGCAATTCTTGGGCAAGCAAATGAATGATTACTTAAATACCTTCATGTGGGCATGCAGGGCTAGAACAGAGCCTTGCTGCTGCAGCGAGGGACAGCCCGGTCATATGCTTAAGAGCAGGCACTCCTCTGGCCGATGCCTACGAGGAATGCCCAATTCCCTCAACCCTCTGCATCTTCCACCCACAGCAGTGATTCTCCCTGCCTGTGCAAAGTGGCATGAATCACAGTAAGCACATGAGCAGATGAAGGTAGGAGGAATTAAGGGGGGGGGAGGGGGAAGATGACTGGATGACCTCTAAACGTTGCTTACAATCCTACTTTTTTATTACTCAGATTTGCAGCAGCACTTGGGGTGTTTAAACATCCCTGTTTATTATGTTTTCCCAGAGCTGCAGTTAATGCCATTCCCAGTAGTAATATATGACCACCATTCGGATTTCCTGGGAGACTGCAAGCAAAGGTTTGAATGACTAGCAGACCTTGATTTGTCCTTCCTTGCCTGGGTGATGACACAGCAAGTGTCTGTCTTAAAGTTCACTCAGCGTGCAGAACGTGAGCAGCACATACTCCTTGTCTTTTCCAGAGTTTCATTGTGAACAAGAGGGATAGCTTTGAAAACGAAGGAGCACAAAACCAATTCACACATTTAAGGAGGAGGAATCTCCACTTCTCTCACTTGTAGTAGCCTGGTGGCCCACACCTACATATTTCCCATGGCAAGAGCATTGGCTGATAGTCTGCTACATTAAAGAAACTCTTAAGACATCCTTGTACATTATTCTTGCCAAAGAACGGCTGTAAAAGCAAGTTCATTTTTTCATGTTTGACAGTGACGCTGGTAAGAGACAAAAAGGAGTTAGTTTGCTCATCTTGTGGTTTATTTAAGTTTACAGTGAGGTCAGTTTAACTGGTTAATGCTTTTTGCTGAGCTCCTTTCAGTTCCATACAATGTGGGAGAAATGGCCCATAGAGATCATCAGCAAGAAATGAATGTAATACATTTGATGCAGAATTTTCACTGTTATTTCAGCTAAGTCTGAGGGCAGACATTCACATAGCACGATACTCAGCAGTTGAACAAAGGGTACTGAAAAATACTAAAAATAACAATGGAAGGTAATTATTTTTAAATATGCAGCACAAAATCATGTTGCTGTGGGTAATGCAATCCTCATTTTGACTTCTGTTTCAACTTCTGGGATTGTCCAAGTTTAGTCCCTTCTCTTCCCCCCTCTCTCTCTTTCTGCAGAGATTCTGACCACCACTGAAATCACCTTGGAAAAGACAAGCAAATATCAGTTCCTTAATTCTTCTGGGGGCTAAGGCTGACCCATACAACAAACAAGCTTCCCCTCAGCCACTGCAAGCCCTGGGAAGGAGGAAGAAAAACGGCTCAAACAAAAGACTCAAGGTCTGGAATGCAGGCAACTCTCAATTATTTGCAGATAGAGGCTTATCTAAGCTCCCACTCTAAAAAAAAAAAAAAAAAACAAAAAAAAAAAAACCAAACCAAAAAAACCCCTATATATGCATACACACACATATAAGATACTGCTAGCCTGCAAACACACAGACCCTTGAAGAAACAGTGTGTTTTCTTCCAGGAGTATTTCTTGGCCTAATAAAAGTCCCTCCCTACAACCCCTGTTTTTAGGTCACCTTGGCTATAACAGCATCATTATTTAAAAAACCAAACAAAAACCCCAAAAAGAAAAACCAACCCCCCAAAACCAACAAACAACCCCACTGTGTACTTTTATAACTTTATACTACACTTTTCCTCATTTTTCAGTGATAGTTATATCACAGGAAGGCTTTAGAGCTTAATGTAAGTATGTTTGATACCATACTATCAGGGAGACAAATAAGAAGTCACGGTGTTGAAGAAATGGGTCTTAACAAGGCAGCGGGACAAATGCATTCATAGTGATGGAATTAGATTTCCTATTTATTTTTGTTAAACAAGTAGGAAGCAGCATTTGATGCCCTCTATGCATCCAAAATGTCAACACAAAAATGTCATACAGAAAACAACAGCTGGAATATTGTGCCTGGGTGAGTGAAAACCTGTACAGAACATTGTTCACGAAGTGCCCCCTGCTGGCACTTCATTCATCCCAAAGGCGTCTCTTTGGTAGCCACAAATCGAAGAGGGAGAACGAAAACCTAACTCTCATTTCTGCTTTTAGAAGAAAAAAGCACCACTGTCAAATTTGTGAACACTGCAACAATCCCCAGAGAAACATTTCATAAAATGGTTTTTGTGTGGAAGCATGAATGAGGGCAAAACAGGGCAGGCAGAAGCGCAACTGAGAGGTAACTCCTCCCCACACCCGACAAGTTAACCCCATCGCATCACTAGAAGACCAACACAAGCAGGAGGGGCATTTATTACCACTCCCTTGCAGTAGGACAAAGTTCTTAAATGCTTTCTGAAGATGAAAAATGGCATGATCCGTAAGCCAGATACTGCATGCCTCCTTGTGGAGGCTTGAAGAATACACAGTCTTTCACTTATTTCTGATAGCGTTTAACAAAACATATTAATCATAAACTTCTATCCACTTGGCTGACACTAGCAAACCCCTCAGCAGCTCCAAACAGCCGTATGGAAGGAAACGAAAAACCCAGCTTGGCAATCTCTGAATGCACACGGAATTTCCCTCCAAATTTACACTGGCTGAAAGCCAAGATGATAATCTTACATCTTCCAAAGAAGTTGAAAGGTCTTCTATTAATAAAAACCAAAAAAATTAAAATGTGCGTAGCAAAGGTTTGTATTCAGCACATTGCTGTAAAATTAGAATAAAAAAAATGAAAGGCAATTCTGGCACATGATTCTTTCTCCCTTAAAAAACATTCTCTCTGAATGAAGGGGAAAAAAGAAAGGGTAAAAAGATGCTCTATTCCTGAAAATAAAATTTTGGGTTTGATTTCCCTAGCATGTATCTGTTTGTCCCATCCCCAGTAGATGCCCAAGCTTTCAGCACTGACAAGACTGTACAGGTAGCTTGCTTTTTGTAACTACCTTGAAAAACGTTTCAGGCACTGAGAAGGTTCCTTCGTTACTCTTACAACTCACAGCCCTAGCCCTCAGTCAGTCACTGATATTGAGACCACCATTTTAGAGTACTGCTGTTACTTAGCAGATGAGATGTCACGTCAAATGAGGGGAGCTTTTCAATTTGCATACTTGATTCTAAGCATGCGCTACTTGCGATAATCCAACTTGGAAGCCACCAGGTCAGGGATCCATGTGACCACCATGGCATCTGCTTAGAAAGGTACATGGTAGATTATTAGTAGTCTTCATTGTTTGGGTACCTGGATTCAAGAAAGAATGTCAGAGGACTGTAAAAACAGGCAACACCCAGATGATCTACCAACCAACTTGCAAGACCTGGTCACTGCATGGTAATAGCCATTTCTTAAAAAAAACCCCAACACATAAAATCTTCTTTTTCCTCGGGACACTTGAATTGAAGATTCAGAATCTAAGAAAGATTTATGCCACCACAGCTGCACTTACGAGGAACTGCAGATATGAGAAACCCTAAATATGTACACACAACCGTGCTGTGGTGAGGGGAGCTAATGGAAAGATTTAACTCACAGTTCCTGGCGGGAAGAGTTGAGCTCAAATTAAATCACTCTTACAGCAGAGGAAGGTACTGTCAACACAGGCAACAGCTGTTCTCCCTCTGCTCCAGGGATTTCAGTACCATCTCTATTTTGTGATACTTCCTTATGTCACCAAATTTCTTTTAAAACTTCTGCAGATGTAGGAAAGACACACAGTTTAAAATGTCACTGCATTTTACATGAATAATGACCTCCCATACTCTGCTAAGCCTCTGTGTATAAAATTTATATTAAAAGCTCCACTTACGTACAAGCAAAGCCTATGGAGGGAAGTCTTTACCTGCACTGAATTACATAGCGGCAGTGCTTTAAATTCTGTTTCTTACCAACTTGATATTGAAAATTTCATGAAGAATTTGATGCACAAGCAAAAAAATTTCAGAATATGTCCAAAATCCACTTTATGAACCATGCCTCCTACCATGATGACTTGGTTTCTGTGTATGATTTTTTTGTAACCACACTGGAGTTGGTGATCTGCACAAGAGATCTTTAAGAAATCTCCCAAATAAACAGTGCCACCTTTGCAGCACAAATGGAGATCTTCTAAATCCAAACGTGAGGGTTTTTTAGTGACAAAAAATTAATCACATACCAGGAGGCTCCAGAATCAAAAATGCTTATTCCATGAGCACTGACTGAGTAAGCTGAGCATGCCCACCACTCCTACTCAAGCTTCATTCCTCCTCTTTGTTCCCTCCAATAAAAAAACATCACTCCACATCCCTAGCAAGTCTTCAGCCACTGACGGTATTTACCATACTCCAATCCAATCCAAGGCTTGTAGATTTCATTTACGAGGCACTCAATTCCCCCTTAGAAATACAGGTTCTCTTCAGCGTGTCTGTCATGTAAAAGGAACTTCAATACAAGGTAAAGGGGTGTCATTTTGTTTGTTTGTTTGTTTTAATTTGAGAAACGTTGCTTCCTG